CCGAGTTGTATATTTATGACAACAATCCTCAATACATAAGCGCAAAATTTTCATTCTAAATTACAATTCTCATACAACCGTATAACTACAAACGATTCGCGCTTCAGGGAGAGCAAAACAATAGGGTGCTTACCGCTTCCCTCCTGATGCCTGAAGCGGTTTTTCCTGCTTCACCCATCTCACTCACACCTATTGTTCGTTCAGTAAGTGCGACGAGTATAGATGACGGTGACGAAAGCCACTTTTAGCTAATTTTCGCCGGCGCTCCTCGTTTCTCGTTGACGTGCAAACTCCTGACTTAAAATATTGGTTCTTTTTTTGAACGGACTTTCTGTGCTTAGGACGGGATGGTTTGTGATTTTTATTTAGATTTTAAAATGTAGATTAGACTAATGAGAATTCCAAACTTGGACACTTTTAAAAGGACGCTTTTAAAGATGCCTACAGTGCAGATAAAAAATTGGGTTCTAATTACGTCACAATGTTAGTCTTTGTAGGTAATTTATGAGAGCCAAATTGAAATGACTGAACTGTTATTATTGTTAAGTTAGTTGATCTTTGGCACCTATATACATAACATTTGATAAAGTGAAAGTTTTAAGGGTTAAAAACAAATTATCTAAAATCGCGGGTTACTCGCGTGAATATACTGAGACAAGCTCTACTAGTTTCGCGTCAAAAGCTCTAGTAGGTGTCACGCAGTTTACTGACATCGCTGCAAGCGTGCACGCTGCTCATGAGGAAGAACCCCTCTGTGGTTCGAAACTAGTAGAGCTTTTCTCAGTATATTCATGTGAGTACCCGCGATTTTGGTTAAAAACAAGTCTAACCTATAATATCGTGTTACCTTCAGTAGGTTTTAAGGCGTTTTGTTAACGATATATCAGTTTACAGTTTATAGTTAACACAGACCACGAAAGGTTAGATAAGACGTACAATTTATGTACCTCTGCACAACAATACTTAACCAGCTGAGATAATTATCTACATATTATTAGAAACTGCAGGTTTCTTAGTTACAACTTTTTATATAAATCCTTTCTCAACGCCAACAGTTCTATGATAAATCTTCTTTGACTATACAAATATATAATTATTTATGTCAATAACACCAACTGTCAATAGATTAGCAAGTTATAGTTCCAAGTTATGGGACTTGTTACGGAGCCGCGGAAGACTTAACGGGTTGCAGAGGCTCCGGCTTGAAGTGCAGGAGTAGGAACGGGGTGGATTTTAGTCAGTAAGAGTCTGACATTCCCTCTCGCCTCACTCAGGCGAGAGAAGTCATAGTTATAGGACTTGCACGCAGACAGTTACACAAGCATATTGATTTAAGGCAGATGATGTATTAAATACCTTATTTTGCGCTTTATCCCATAAATCCACAGAAATATAAATCGAGAGGGAGCCAATCAACAGCCTATAATTGTTCACATTTAGCTGGTGGATCGGAAAACGCAATTTAAAAGGTCATAACCAGAGGTAAGTCATGAGAGCTGCTGCACCATCTCTAAATGTGTAATCGCTTAATGAGTCAAAGAATAGTAGTAGTGAACAATGTAGTCTTCTTTACCAGAGAAACAATTTCATCACAGAGCGTGTCAAACTCTGTGTACAAAATAGGACACCATTTTAATATTCAAATGAAAAAAAAACGCAATCATATATTTATATTTGACGTACACTTTCAAACTTACTATCAACGAGGCATAAAAATTAAATGTTCACAAAACAAATCGAAAGCGTTGGTGATTAAGACCGGGGTCAGAGCAGGGCGTTAATTAATAACATTTAGGCAGCGACTGCCGGGTTAAAGTTTAGTCGTAGGGCAGGCCTGCAGACGAGGGGAACCGAAGTAATAGTTAAATAATCGGCAATGTGTTAACGATGATGTTACAGTTAGGGAACGTACCTACAGAATATTAATATATTTTTATTTCATTGATTCTGCTTTGTATTGTACCTTTTGGTAAGATTAATATTTACAGTGATTGAAATTGTTTAAAATATATTATGCTTCAGCGTTGCAATCAATGCTTTTTTTAATCTATGTTTCTTTAATGTAATAATTTAAATTTATTTTTCGATGCTTAGATGACCTTGATACTTGTCAGTTTTTAATATTTATCAACGCAGTTAGATAATTGACTATTGAAAATCGTAGCAATTTGCGTTCCATAGTAGGCAGAGGGAGTAGATAGATGCCTACTCCCATAGGAGACAGGTGTGTAGTTATGTATGTATGTTGAATTGTTGATAGGTAATTTTATTTAATCAAATTGTGGATTGCACTTAAAATCAAATTTCTATAATCAATAACAACAGCAGCGATTTACGTAATTCAGTTAGTTATTTATACACCATCATAAACAACCGAAGGACATCCATATCTGAACAAGTTCTTCTCTTTTAAAAAGGAATCGACCTTAACGTCACACTTGGTCTGCTTGGAAATGCTTGCTATGTCCCAAGAAGTTTAGTTTTAGTTTATTTACGCCACCATTTGTTCAGTCACTGATCGTAGTTTTAGAACATAGTTAGTTATATATTTGTTTATACATAGGAAAACTTTTTGTGGTAAAAACATTCAGCAGGGTGCGACCAAATATTTTGTTAATAGCACGACCGCGCGTAGCGACACGAGTACGAGGGGACTCGATTTTATAGCAGTGCGCAGTGTTACGGTATTTTGGAATATTTTTGTAGGTAGTACATGAAACGTTATTGAACTATTTCGTTATTCTTGTATTTAGTTGCATCTGGTAGGTACGACTGGCACGATTGATATTCACAATAAGAACTTCAACTCACAATAAATTATAACTTTATAATATAATTATTTTTGTATATAGTCTTATTCTTAAACTTAACGAAGCTTCAAAGATAAAGTTACATGAAAATAATAATAATTATAAATGAACAATCGATTACACAATAATAAAGTGAACGATCTCCATTAAAATGGCGCCACACTATTTCCACTGAACATGTAAACAATACATTAAATTTTGCATTGAAAAGTCAATCAACGGGAACGAACCGTGCACGCGATAATACGGCGGGAGCGCTAAAGTGATAATCATCAAAATATTGCATCAGTTATCGAAATATTGTAAGTGTCAATCAAAGAATTAAGTCAGTATTGTTGAGGCACGTGCCTGTCACGCGCGGTTTCGCTTCGCTGAGCGCTCGCATGCAACATTTTAGGGGTCCTTTGTTTTGATTTTGCGCGTGAAATGACACGGATACGTCATATTGGCTAGATTCGTTGGCTAGGTTGGCGGAAATGGCCACATGGACGTTTTGTGGTCAATTGCCCGTCACGTAATAAATTTTATTTGTAAAATGTGCTTAGATCTAACAAAACATTTTATTTTGCTTTATACTTATACATAGGTGTGGTGTTATCAAAATAAAGGTGATACTATTGTTTCAAAGATATGACAATAAAGTAATAAGACTGCTTTTCTGACAATCTTTCGTCTTGTTTAAATTATAGTGTACAATAAAGTTTGTTTTACTCTACTCCGTCGTTTTGAGCTGACCTGATAAATGAATTTGGCAGAAGAATAAAAAGAAAAATTTAACTTTTCTATGGGATAAGCCATGATAAGAGAACTAAAGAGTTTCTTGCTCATTCTTCTCCATTCGAATTTAAAAGTTGGTACGAGCACCAACCTTCACTAAAAATTGAATTAGTGCGTTTAAAAAGTGCCTAATCAAGGATTTATTGAAATAAATACTTTGACTTTGACAGCGATACCCTTGATATTATTTCCTGATTAAATTTAATTAGGCGCCGAAACTGATAGTTTGTATAAACCAAATGGAGCTTAAGCGATAGTTGGCTGAGAGAACAGAAAACTCAATGCTTGAGCTTAGTACACATATAACATCCACTTTTCAACAGTTACGACGAGTCAGCTATCTGACTTTTTGGAATATACTGGTAAACGAGCAGATGGATCACCCGATGTAAAGTAATCGGCGCTTATGAACTTGATATAATCTGATGATAAATATAGGTAACTTCAAAATGCCAACGAAACATTTGTACTTAAAGCACACAAAATGCTTAGACTCTCTCTCTCTCACACACACGACAATATTCTCACGCAGACAAAGTTGTAGGGAATAGATACTATTAAAAAAAAGTTAGGCGAATGTTCGTTATTCACAATTCAGATAAGAATTGGTATTGTGATCAACGCCGCGGGCTAAAACTTGTATATGTATGGAAAAGTTAAATGGCATATGGCGTCCGTTGTCGACTAATTAGTTCCACAAGTCGGGAGTTGCAATGTATGGTCCTTATTAAAGTTATTGTTCACAAACTATGTGTATTGTTTATAACTTTATGCCAATACGTATTTGTGTAAGTTAAAGAGGAAGTAATAATAAACAGTAATATGCCAAGACAGATAGCGTCATTAATGGTTAAAAACCCATTGCAAGGAGAAGTATATGTGACCAAAAGATATATAAAAAAAATTACTGGTGATCTGAGGTCGGAAGAAAGATGGGTGTTGGGTGTAGAAAAAAAAATTAGTTCATCATGATTTACGGAGAAACTATAAGTCTTATGGAAAAAGTTCAATGACAAAGTTGTATCAACTTTTGTTTTTATAAAGATTTTTTATAGATCTATTCCTCGGAATTTTGTTTTAAAAATTATCTGCCCTAGCAGGCCGGGGCAAAGTAATGCAATATATCTACCACTTTACACGAGCAATAATAATTCTTGCGTTTATACCTAATAAGTAGGTTTAATTTCACTTATCTCAGAGGCTGATATCGTGTGATGACTGATGGCAGAATCGAATACATTTTTTCCGTAAGAGCTAAGTAATAGAGTACACATTTGAAAGAAACTGAATAACAGCACTCGCTGATGGTGTCTTATCTTTGAACTTTTTAAATCTATAAAATCAGCTGATGCTGATGGCTTGGTTATCACAAATTGTAGCGGATGGTGAGATTAAGTTAATAAAATGTCATACCTTGTGAACCCTGTGATGTGGCATGCGTAGACCAAGTACTCTTGTATGAAGCATCTGAAAAGACAACAAAAGATAAAACATTAATAAAATTTCATGGAGTAAAATGTACACAACAAAATTTTTTAAATAACAGTCGTGGACCGTACTGAATTAGCTAAAAATGAAGAGTTATTGACGTTAATATACTGCCAAGCTTACGGCTACTGCCGCCTACGGCTGCTGCCCCCTATGGTTGATGTCGGTCAGTAGGCTGCGCGACATCGCCGATACCACGCTCGCTACTCATGAGGAAAGAGTCCCTCTGTGACTCGAAATCAGTAGAGTTTATCTCAGTACACTTATGTGAGTAACTCGTAATTTTTGGTTAAAACGCCAATATACTTACAAATATGTATGATATGTAACAATAACGACAAAATGAAGGTTCTTGTGAATGTGTAGGTAAAACCAACAAAGTACAAATCGAAGAATCACTATAAAAAATCAGCATTACAATATTAAAAGATAAATCTAAGAAATCACAACTTATCCAATCTTATGACCTAATTTTCAACTACCTACTAAGTTAGCCAATCGATTGCGAATTAGGTCTATAGGGTCACAATATCCGCATCGGAAGGTACTCAAAGTGGTTGCTAAGTGCATTCGGTGCACAGTGGGGCGAATCACACGTCTACATTGTCTACACAATCATACATCAGTGTATATATATCAACATATGTAAGTACATTTTCCTACACAGTTATGCACACTGTATTAGTTTCCGTCACCATAGAATCGTATGATGATAACTAAGTTGAACATAATATATTATTATCAGTTTGTCTCTATACGCAGTGTCAAAAGAGCTGACTAATGCACGCTACACACCTTCACTGTACAATCGAACTATATAGTTAAATCGCAAGGAATTTAAATCTAACCAAGAATATTGTATTGTGAACCTGATTGAAAAAGAGTATATATAACCTTTGGAGTTTCTTTTTCGTTCTACACTTGGGAATGAGCAAATAGCTTCACTAGAGGATTGACCGACAGACTGTCATTTTTTTGACGTTCAAAAGTGCCTTCCTTGTCTAATTGAAATAAATGATTTTGACTTTGAAACAGTTAAACGGTATTGTAATTTTAATTGAAGGTATGTAGGCGCTAAAGAGCTTCGATTTAACTGTCCAGTTCGATTGTATAGTGAAAACGGCGCAGTTCAGTTTTAAGGTGTGTATTCTGCATATAAGACAGTGTTTTGACAGAGCAAGGTAGCAGTGATTTTGATATACTTGGACTTTTTACTGGAATCTCCAAAGTGTGTATTAGTAGTGGAGGTTGTGGCAAATCTTGTAATGCTGGAGAGGCCCATTACTTACTAGTGGACTGTAGAAGGCTGTTGATGATTTTGATCGTGTTATCAGATTAAAAAGTACTCTATAACTTAGTCTATATGCCTCATATTCTATTAAAATTAACTTACACTATTTAATAATCATCACTAAAAAAATATCACATCGTAAAAATTAACAACATTATATCGCGCAGTCGTAGAGTCCATCTATGACTCGAAAGCAGTAGAGCTTTTCTCAATACATTTACGTGAGTAACTCGACATTTTAAGTTAATTTAGTATGCCTCACGATAGTTGTTATAAAAACCTAGAATATTTATCAAAAATGACTATAAAACTTTGAATCAACAACTAATATAACAAAACGATAACTCCACTATAGAACACAATTACCACCTCTTGCAACTAAGCTACGTTTATCGTCTCAAAACAACTCCAAAGACAGTAGATCCTGGCCATCCCCCACTTCACTTGAAAGCTTTCAACCCCTTCAAACCGGGGAAACTACCCCTAAGAGCTTTCAGTCCTTAAAAGGTGCCAAAATACCCCTAAGTAGGCATTAAGTACCCAGGTGATGAGCCTCGTGGGTGTTATTATCGCAGCGGCCGAAGAACGAAAGAATATACTGAATAGAATGATCTGGGTTGGAAGCTTGGGGTAGGTACGATGGTACTTAGACAAAAGGTTTACACATTTTGGTTAGTATGTGAGTTATGTTCGTTTACACAATACACAATTGACAACCGGTCAAATTCAATACCTTTTTTCGAACTGTCAAAAACGACAGTTTTCTATGAATTTTGTACGAGATTGTGAATTAATGTCACGTTTTTTTCAGCGTCAAACAGCATACTTACATCTTCACAATTTTCTGGAATATTCCAGAAACAAATTGGTCATAAATTCTATTAATGAAGGTGTAATTATTTTTTAATATTTTATTGTATTAAACAGTCGACATAATTTATTTTTGATTAAGGAAAGTACCCAATTATGTGTTGTTAAGTGAGTATTGAAACGCGTTTGTATTCATACTAATTGTTGTTCATACTAATTCTACTGAAAATGTCAACGTAGTTACAACTGAAACGCAAAATATATAATAGTTACAAAAGTTTATATAATAGTTACAAAGAATTTTAAATAAAACCGCGGGTTATTCACGTGAGTGAATATACTGAGAAACGCTCTACTAGTTTCGAACCACAGATTGGTTCTCGCGACGTCGCCGCGACCGCGCACGCTGCTCATGAGAAAGAACCCCTCTGTGGTTCGAAACTAGTAAAGCTTTTCTCAGTATATTCACGTGAGTAACCCGCAATTTTACTTAATTTCGTATGTCTCACGATAGTCATTATAAAAACAAAGAATTTTGGTTCACGACTATGATATAGAAGCAAAATCAACGACAACATCATGAAAATAATGTCAGTATCTTATTCAAGGATCACCGTTCTATAGACAAGCTCGACAGAAAACAAGTCCATTTTTGTGATGTCGTAATTGGGCCTCAGATGACGTCACTCACACGACAAAAGACGACGCAAGCGTTGTTTTAAGTCGATCTTCTGTGTGGCCGTGGTATTACTCCGTGCGTGCGAGTCATGCTTTGGCGCATTCGTGGTAAAGCACGGTTCTCTCACACTTAAATCACTTACATTACTGAACGATTATCTCACAAATAGGTAAATGTGTATAAAATACTTAAAATAAATATATACATCGTTACAGAATCCAATCAATAAGATTTGAAATGAAACTAGTAGGTACCCTATCATCCCTACTAAATAATTCTTTCATTGATTAATTATAAACAATCTGAATACGGTTTTAAGTTGTCTTGTGTACGATTTTACACAAAAATAAATATTTGAGTATTGGATCGCATTGGATATTATTTCTAATTATAAGTTTGTAATCGCTAACCCGCATTGAGCAAGCGTGGTGATTAATGCTCAAATCTTCTCCGTTTGAGAAGAGGCTTTCCTCAGCAGTGGGCAATTATAGGTTGTTAATGATGATGATGATTGTGTTTACAATAAAATGGTTGACAATTCCTCTAATGTTAGTCAGCGTGTAGCTGTAATTGCACTGGCAAATTTATTATGTTATATCGGTATTTATAGAAACAACAAAATATGTACGTCAGTCATTTTAAGACTGTACACATCAAAATGCCGCGGAAAACCTAACGGGTTACCGGGGCTCCGGCTCGACGTGCAGGAGAAGGAACGGGGTGGTTTTTAGTCAGTAAGAGTCTGACACTCCCTCCCGCCTCATCCAGGCGAGTCATTTAATGATTTTCCCCAAAAAACTAAATAGATTCGTAAAGTACTTGCGGCATTAAGTCCACCTATTGCACACTTTGTGCAAGTAGCATAATAAATAAATAAATAAAATGAACATGTTTAATTTAGATCGTAGTCCCCGGTGCCTGTATTTTAACAATATATTTTACGAAAAGGTGGCACCAGGTTCTATAGGCTCAATCTAGTTTTATACCAACTGACAGCTGTCTCCGCGAAAGCCCTATTTCCGATTTAAGCTCAAAACGTGTTTAAATTCTCGGATTTTTAGTGTAAATGTCAAAACTTTTGGACATTTCCTGTTTCATCCTATGTTGGCAGTGGCCTGAAGTGGACACAGACGTATATATTATATCATAACTATTTACATAATTTTCAATGTAACAAAATTTACACAACTAATTGTATAATTAGTACTGCAGTACGCGATGTCTTATTAAACTTAGACACTAAATAATTTTTAATAAATAAATAATTTATGAATGAAAATAATGAGTGTTACATTATACTGTGGCATTAAGTGCCGTAACGCACCTCTGTCTACCCCTTCGGGGATAAAAGGCGTGATGTTATGAATGAAATATTGTATGCTAAAATATGTTTAGATATCGAATTATAACATTTGATCCTGTATTATACGAATAAAAATGAAAGTATTACGTAATGAAGTTATACAATTACATATTAGGAAACGTTATATTTCCAAAACATTGAGATTCAGCTTACTTAACACATTATTGTTCTTTGTATTTAACAAAAAGGTGAACCTATGGAGTTTCTTGCTTGGAATGAGCAAATAGCTTCACTTTAAATTTTTTTTTTTTGACCGTCTAAAGTGCCTTTCTGGTCTAATTGAAATATATGGTTTTAACACCTTTAACTTAAAAATGTTTTAAAAGAGATGAAATAGATCCAATTATTGTCCGTGTTGCGTCATTCATTTGACGAATATATACTTTATAAACAATATGTGGTCTACAAATGACAAATGCTTGCGTCTTGCTTGCCTGTTTGTGAAGGATGCATGCATTCATCAATATATTAAGTTTGATACATACAAAATCTCAATTTCCTTTCTATAAGAGTAACGTTAGTAAGTAGACGGTGCACTTCTTGCCAGTTTGAATTAATTATTTACTCCCCTTTTTATTGTAATAAGGACTAACTTACAAACACTTATATAACTGTTTATTTACATTTTAAAAAACATTTTGTATATGTATTAAACTGCACGGTTGGCGCAGTGGTTGAATAATGTGGCTGGTGCTCAATCTGTCACGTGTTCTATTACAAAAAGATCTTTACATCATCCACAAATTAATGTTCTGGCCCTGAGTGTGATGTGGTTTATTTATGGTGGTAAATATATATATATGGTATGTGTGTATGGTTGTATGGTTGTAAACCCATGACACAAATAAATCGTGAAGAAGTTTATAATACGATTTATGAAAATTCGGAAACAGAGTACCAATATCTTTATGATTACGTGTTATGCATGAGTATGAAGTTAGTAAAAGAAGTATATAGATAAGAATTAACGGTGTAATTCTATTTTCTGTCTTACGTAATAGGACAAAAAGTTGAATGTATGATTACAATATAACTTTAGTTATAATCCGACATTTGTTCTATGATGATTTGATAGTTTTACTGTTTGCAAAACGGTGAGTATGAAATTCTAAGAACTTTATATAACTCGTGAATATATCACAAACTGGCCAGAATTAAGAATGTAAAAAGCTGGTAAAAATACAATCAACTTCACAGCAGACCAACTCACTGACCAAGGATCAAATACAGTGATCAAATATTTTCTTGCAAGAAATACTAACTAATTTATATTACAAAAACTTATCGACTGTAGTCTAAGTAATACATATGTCTAGTATTACAGTAAATGAGTTGATCATGGGATTTTCAAAACTCAAAACAGTAATAAATCCACATTAAAAAATTCTACTTCATGAAACTATTCCTTCCTGCCGGCTATCGCAGTCAGGACACGTTCCTTAGTACTTACGACCTTTTAACCAACCCGTGGCAAGAAAAACACAACACTTCACGTGTCACTGCACAACACACAAGACAATAAAACTAAATACATTATATAATAATACAAAGTAATATTCACCCGCAAATAACATAGAGAAGTTGGTGAATGTGCCCGACCGACTCAGATAGTCGGCGGAGCTTTTTATATCGAGCATGATTCACGAGCAGGCCCACATCACGGTGCGTACGGCGCGCCCTACGACAAACTTTGTGACTCTTTTCGGCCGTCCAAAGGGGCGGCGACGTACCCTAACCACGCCTTAACACGCCCCCTCTCACCTCAACACACCACCCCGCCAATAGCAAAACACTCCGGCTAATCTTTATCTGAGAAAAATAAACACGGTGGGCGGTAGATAATGACGTGCAGAGCGGCGATAATCAGGCTTTGTGGTACGCGACGCCCCGCGCCGCCGCCGTCACACAGTTTGGCGAAAATTGAACGGTTCGATCTTTTTTTACAAAGAGCATCGAACGTTTTTATTAAAATCCTATTGCCTATCGAAGTTGGCACTCGATTCGGCTTGTTTGTCACTCGCATATTGTATTTTTTTTATTAATTCGGCCGCTCGAATTTCAGGCTCGAACAATGGCCGCCTTTGTACCCGCTTTTGTATTATTTTTATAAATTGCCTGCCTCTCCCTATCTCGATAATTGTCCATATAATTGGCTGGGTTTAGGCATATTTTATTACGAATTTGGCACAATGCTATTCAGGTGTTGTTGCATATAAATGTCTTTGTTAAAGCATTGTCCCCGTTTTGGGCATCAATATCTCATTTTAAACAAAGAATATGATTTATTGATGTAAAAATATTGTAGACCCAAAATAATACAATTAAGCATGTTTTTAAATAGATACCCAATTTTTAAGAGTTAGTTTTTGCTTCAGTAAAAATACAGCTTGGAGATATTAATGTTCGTAATACAAGATATACATCCTTTATGTCTGAATCTAGACAATAACCAAAAACCTAGATCAAAAAAACTTAACTTCGTACAATCAATGACCACAATAATTAATCAGCACAATGTTTATATTGTGGTATATGACGAAGCTCAGTGTTAGTGTAGCGATGTCGTCTTCGTGGTCGATTTATTATAATTTATGCTCCACGCCGGGGTTACGGTCGCGACCCGTGGTCGACAAGCCGCGCCGCGAAACACCATAAAACACAACCTCCTATCAAAAAATCGAAACTTTTATTACAATAAAATATGACTAGAAATAATTTATTACATTTTCTTTGAAATGGAATTATGGTCAAGGACATCTAGTAATGTATCAATCCTATTGTAATATGCAGCAGTGAGTAAATAATATATTTTAAAATGATACTTAAATAAAATATAGCCTTTAGCGAATCACTGAAGCGTCTAGACGCTGCAGTATCGTCTCTGACAATAGAATGGTAACGCAGGCGTAGGCTCGCTACATCTGTGCTACGAAGCGTAGCGAGATAGCTACGAAAATAAAGGTTACGCTTGCTACGTCGTAGTAGTGTGGTTAAGTGAATTTTACAATTATTTATAATTTTTTCCATTGTTCTTGTAGTTTGACTATCATATTAATGTAAGGCGAGTCTGTCGTCAGAATTACTAACACTGATTTGAGATATTTCATAAAAGAAACCGATCTTTATGTTAGGACTCAAACGGTAAACAATTTAATACCAGAACAATAAATAAGTTTAATTATTACGATCTATGTAGTTTTGCAGGTTCATTGAGTTGTTAAATCCAATCGTCAGTGTGAAAAGCAGCATTTTTCGCGCTACAATACCGGACCATTGGCTTTGATCCACCACCTACGGTTGATGACGTCACTGAGGCTCTTTTGTTTGACCACATACCCAATTGTCTATAGCCCAATGGGGGCAGAACAGAATAAGAGAATGGTTGACCACATGCGCAGAATTAAAAACAAATTAAATTGTGTTCTGTTCTGGAACTTTGTGTGTGTTGTGTTGACAACACTCTTTTTACAATGAACCAGTTATTTGAAATTGCTAAAGGATCTGTATTTTAGAAAATGATGCTAAAAAGCTGGTTAAATGTGAGGCACTGGATTTTTTTTTAAATAAAAACGTTGGTTTGCTCTATGATTTTCTCCTGTGTCGTGGGTGCGTTTACAAAAACACAAGGTCACATAAACATTACACCCAAACCAGGAACAACAATTTGTGGAGACAGAGTTGCTCCGTTCTAGAATCGAACCCACTACACTTTGAGCGGCAACCCAGCCACCGTGCCAACCAAAGTATATAATAATTAAAGAATTTAATGAAAATTTCTGAAAATCTGACTGATAACTCGAACCGACATACTGATTACTAGCATACACAATCCTGCGATCAATATGTATATATCATACGTCACTCTAATGGAAAACTATCCAACTACTATTTCACACGCAGAACTAAAACAAAAGATAAGAACAAGATGGCAGTCAGCTGAAGACATTCTCTTCGCCAACTCGAGTTTTTAATTACGCCACGTTTTGTTTCACTTTCTTGCCCCAACCGTGAAGTTATGAAGCTAATTGAGTGGGGTACTGTATCCAAGTGGCATTAATGGATGTTGTTCTATACGAAATACTATTATCTTCACCATAGATCACCCCTAGACCCATACTCCCCTGGTTCCCTACTGCGCGTGCTAACTGACACCTATGACTGTACCTATTTTGTGTAAAGTATAATAATATGCAGTGGTATGTCATATGGAGACTTGATTTTAATCCAAGGTTATGAAAAATTATATGTTTACTTCTATAATTCAATTCTGTAATTCAATGGGTGCGTCTTTAATAAATAAGCAATAACAATGGTATTAATGTATTGATAAGAGAACTCTTGACAATTTGAGTGCGAAAAATTATGCGTAAACTGCTTATAAGTAGGAGAACCACAACCAACAAACCTGAATTGAGCAAACAAAACATACTTAATAACCACGGTTCCGGCACGACTCCGGCGCGGTGGCACGGTGATTTTTGCTTTGAGAACAATACAAAAAGGGTATAAGTGCGCTGTCGGCACAGTTTTAGTATAATGACGTTATGAAACATATCACATAATACACGATTTAAAGTCTATATTTCAATGACAAGTTAATTGCTGGGTTGGAGCTGTGCCGGAGTCGTGCTGGTTAAGTGTGCTATGTCTTTAATGCTCAAACCTTCTCGCGAGGAGAGTTGTTTGGTATGTGGTGGTCACTTATTGGCTGATGATGATGATGATGATGATGAGTAGTCACCAAGAGATGACTATCAGCCGTTACACCACCGTTTATAACCAGGCGAGTTTGTGGCCTATTAATAAAAATTAAGAAAATGGTATAGCTCCATAGTCTCAACAACCATCTGCCGCCTCAATACGGCCGATACAAAGCCGCGGGAGGCTTAACGGGTTACCGAGGCTCCGGTTCAATGAGCAGGAGTAGGAACATGGTTGTTTTTGGTCAGTAAAAGTCTAATATCGGAATACTGAAACGCTACTCAATTTTAAGTCGCACTTAAGTATAGTTCTGTCACCTCCATTCTTTGTAAAATGACAGATATGTCACGATATTTAAGCACGACTTAAAATTGAGTAACGTTTCAGTATTCCGGCGTATAAGGCGTAAAAGTCCCTCTCGCCTAACCAAACCAAACCCTAACCCCCTCATAAAAACTCTTACAAACTGTTTTATTTTAATGATGACGAGTAAAATTTGTGTTTAATAGCCTAGTTGCAAAATAAACATAAACATACACACATAAACATAACATCACGCCTTTTATCCCCGAAGGGGTAGGCAAAGGTGCAAATTATGCCACTGTACAATGTAACACCCTCTTTTCACTATTTATGTTATGAGTCCCATGTAATAGGGGGTGAGCCTATTGGCATATACCGGGCACCATATTCCAGACTCCGTGCTACTACTGAGATTTTTTTTGAAAAACCCAGTAATATTTAGCCCGACCCGGGAATCGAACACGAGACCCCTTACCCGGCAGTCGCACTTGCGACCACTTGGCCAAGAGGCAGTCTTGCAAAATAAACAACATAATAAATGATAATTATTAACCATGTGCATAAATGTCGGTCTCTTTCAAAACCGCATTGGTTATTATAGATATCAGTTATTTAGCAAATGAACCGTACGCACATAATTAATGTTGAATAAATAACGTTTATCATTACTGCTGTTTTGTAATATATAACGTGTATTGGATAATTGAACGTGTTTTATATTGAAATGCTCATTTTGAAAAACTTACATTATGTTCTGCTAATCAGTTGGAATAAGTTCAACTAATATTGTAAATTATTAATTATTTATTTTAATCTTAAGTTGTACATATTTATTTAATTTAGTAATATTTAGTTTTAATTTTATTTAATTAACTAGCTGTTGCCCGCGACTTCGTCCGCGTAGATTAATGACTTCTGACAGAATTAATCAGAATCAATTCAGTGCTCGAGTAAGATTTACCTATTTTGAAATGATTTATCGTAGTTTCAATAAATAAATAATCCCGCAGGGATCTTACCAGTACAGTGCCCAATCACGTAAGGTTTGGGTAATAAAAACTATTCTATCGACTATTGTTGTACCGAATCTCTCTAAAATAAGTTCAGTGGTTAAGAGTTAGAGAGCCCTGGGGCATTGACGCATAGTTCCCGTTCCCGTGGGACATCTGTGATAAATACTATCAAACGTTACCCAGGTCCCAAATCATCGTTTTACCGAATGTAATTCTAAAAGATTCAATGATTCTACATTCAATGGCTAAGAAGATTTATACAAACTCTAATTCCCTATTTTATCCCTTTAGGCCTTTAGGGGTGGAATTTATCATATCCTTTAGATATATCCTAAGTAGATACCTATGTCATAGTAACTTTATGCATGCAAAGTCTTAGCCCAATCGGTTTAAAACTGGCAAAGTATCATACAAACTTTCACCCCCTATTTACCCACCTTGGGGTGAGTATGTTCAAAAACCTTTCTAAAGGGACGTTTACGTCATAATATCCATCTGCACGCCGAATTTCAACCCGATCGGTGTAAAACTGACAAAGCTTCATACAAACGTTCATCCCCTACATTACCACATTGGAGGTGGAAATGATCATAAATCCTTACTTGGGGATGCCTACGTCATAACGTCTTCCTGCATGTCAAATTTCAATCCGATCGATTTAAAACTGACAAGTCCATACAA